GGCACCTCTCTTTGGGACAGGGGAGCAGCAGCATTGGCTGCCCAGAGGACTCCCAAGGAGAGGGGAGAGGAGGCTGAGGGAACACTCCACAAGGGAGTGTTTGAAAAAGGGTGAGAGGCTGGCAGCTCTGCAGGCAAGGGGTGACCTAACTGGGCTCCTGAGCCCCACAGGGGTGACACAGAAAGGATGTAGTTGGTTAAGGAAGCCATGGACTCAAAAAAGTTGAAAACCTCTAGTCTATAGGAAGTCCAAAAGCAGAAGAAAACAGCTCTCTCTCCAATTGTGAATTCCAGCAAGACCTCGGTTGATTGCCTTGGTTGTCCAAGGAGCCTGGCAGGAATTTTTATCCATTTGGGTAATTGGCTCCAGCCTCTTGGTTTTTCGCCTACCTTGTAGCAAATCGTCACAACTTTTAGGTATTGGCGGTTAGGCACTGGAATATGTGTTGTGTGTTGGAGGGCAGGTTGTGGCCAGCACCTAGCCCTCCCCTTTTGGGTATTCCGTTAAAGGGATCCGGCGGTCGTGGATCCTGTCCGATGCCCTGCTGGTGGCTAGGGCCATGGCAAGACCCCCGGTGACATCAGGGGAAGCTTCCAGTTGTATTTGCATCAACAAGCTCCTCCCGCTGGTTGTTAACCCACTAATGACCCCCACAGAGCGGGGTCGAGTCATGTAGAGATTGTTTCATCCAGTGCCTAAGCCAATACCATTCACATGCTGTAACCAATAAAATTGTGACCTTATTTAGCCCATTAACCTAAAATAGATGTGTCTTATTTATCTCCAAGTGGGTGGCGGGTCCTCGACTCACAACTCTGATATTCAGAGGCATAACCCAAGAACTGGAACCCTGTCATGAACAGAGACCCAAAATATTCTCTGTGTGTCCCCTCCACCCATTTTTATTTTATATTAGATTTACTTCTCCTTGTAATGTACATGCCCTTTCTTTCTGATGGAGTCCCAAGGCTATAATAAAGTCCAGTAACCTGCTTTTCTCCTATTACGTAATAGAGATAGCATGCAGCGATATCAGCTCTTTATATATTGGCCCATCTTTTATGCCTGGCCCTTGAACTCCTACTGATACCAACCTTAATAAGTTTTCTCTGAAAATACGTAACGCCTTGGTAGGACCTAAGCTACCTTCTCCTGTGGGAAAACAAGATAAGGTTGCTACCTGGATATTGTTCTGTAAATGAGGACAAGCAATTAGAGTTGGCAAAACTTTGTGAAGCCAGAACGAAAGGACCAGCAAGTCCTGTTAAGCAACAAGAGCTCTTGGTTCTTCCCAGTGATAGTACTCTTACACTCTTTGCTCTCCCTCGCTCTTTCAGTCATGCACACATGCTGGAAAATCCTTTCAAAACGAGGCAGAGAGCCAGCCCTGCCATGAAGCTTGGTGAATTGACCTGCTTTAGGTGGCACTGTCTGAATGTATTAGCATCCAAATGGTATTATAACAAGCCTACAAAGTGTTCGCCCCAGCAGACCAGGTTAGGCTCTGCTTCAGGCAGCAAAATGTGTTGGGCTGGCACCGGCTGGGTGTGCCAATGTAAGTGAATGTATCCATTTCTTCTTCTTCTTCTTCTTCTTCTTCTTCTTCTTCTTCTTCTTCTTCTTCTTCTTGTATTTCACATAAGGGCAAAAGAAAGCACCTGCCTAGTCCAGCATTCTGTTTTCACAGTGGCTAACCAGCTGTTTCTGGGACACGGGCGGTGCAGTGGTCTAAACCACTGAGCCTCTTGGGCTTGCCGATCGGAAGGTCGGTGGTTCAGATCCCCACGACAGGGTGAGCTCCCGTTGCTCTGGTCCCAGCTTCTGCCAACCTAGCAGTTTGAAAGCATGCCAGTGCAAGCAAATAGGTACCGCTGCAGCAGGAAGGTAAACAGCGTTTCCATGTGATCTGGTTTACATCACGGTGTTGCGTTGCACCAGAAGCGGTTTAGTCATGCTGGCCACGACCCGGAAAGCTGTCTGTGGACAAATGCCGGCTCCCTTGGCCTTAAAGCGAGATGAGCACTGCAACCCCATAGTCGCCTTTGACTGGGCTTAACTGTCCAGGGGTCCTTTGCCTTTACTTCTGGGAAGTCCACAAAAAAGGCCAACTCTACAATTCTGTGATTTCTATGAAGACACAAGCACAAAAAACCATAGGATAGCGCTGAACAGATAATTATTCATTCAATAACAATAATAACTAGTACATGAGGATTTCTCATATGCATAACATTTTGATACGAGTAGGGTCTTTAAGTAAAATCTCCATTAATTATGTCTATGTCATTTAACTTGTTCTGAATTCTTGGAGGGGCGAATTATTTTCTTCCATCTCAGTTCCATGTGTGAGGAAGCTAAGGGTGGTGATTAACATAGTGTGAAGTAAGTAGGCCTTAAGTGCAAGGATTCTGCTTGCTCTGCTCTGTGCCCCCTACCCTAACTCTGTACCCTCTGGAACAGATTTGGGGAGGGTGGGCGACACACATCGGGGAAGGAGAGAGGCTGTTGCACTAGCAGCATTCCTTGCACTGACAGGACAGGTTAGCAGAATTCCAACCCAATAGATAATATCTGCAAAACATGTTGTCACCTGCTCAGCCAAACCCAGGGGATTTTTTGAGCAGGAACCTGGGGGAACCGAGTTCCCTTACGTTTTAAAAATAAATAATTACTTTTTTTTTGTCTGGGGCTGGAGCTAGAATGGATATACACCCAACGCTTGAGCCTATATCTGTAATCAATAAAGTTGTAGCCATTTCTAATCCAGATCACTGTCTGCTTGAGTTTATTAATCACATCTTACATTTAGCCACTGCCCCTGTGTGTGTGTGTGTGTGTGTGTGTGGCACTTTGACTGGGCCCACAACAAACAAACAAACAAACAAACAAACAAACAAACAAACAAACTTTCTGGTGAGTTCCTCCACCTTTTTTTCCAGAAAAAAGAGCACTGCCCTGACTAATTAATTATCCATTAATTCTTAGGCTAAAAATTAAAGTGCAATACCTGAAGATATTGTTCTGGTGAAAGCAACTCTGGCTATGTTCACACCGAGATTTTGAAGCACATCCAAAGCACATTCTTTCCCTCAATGAATTCTGAGCACTGTAGTTTGTTAAGGATTGCAGGGAATTGTAACTCGGTGAGGGGTAAACTATAGTGCCCAGAATTCTTTGAGGGAAAGGAAGGGGTTCTTTAAAGGTATGGTGTGTACACCTTCTTTAACAGGAAACTTCAAAGGGCCTGCGTGTGCTCTTATATGGCCTCCCTCCAGAAAAAACAAACAAAAACTTGCCCTACAATGCTGGGCATTTGCCAGCAGTTAAGAAAGCACACTTCACATAAAACAAAAGATCCCAGCGCTAAACCACTTATAGGTTTTATTACAATCAAGCAGTATATACATTTTGCTAAATAAATAAATAAATAAATATGCTCCTCCAGCCAACCTCAGTTAAGGTAAGCAGATACATAAGGAGCAGAGATAAAAAATAAGGACAAAGTAAAGCAATTGAAATGATATCTATGGGCATGCAGATAACAGAGACATAAAACTTACCTTGACATTAATTTTAATAAATCCATAAACTCAGATGTGATAGTCAAGTAAAATTCTCCTGGCGAGTCACTAAAGGGGCTTCCCTCCCTCAGCTAAAAGGCAATCAATCTCCCAATTATTACTCAATTGATTTTTTTTTTTAATGACTTGCTAAAATTTGTCAGCTGGAGCCATCGGTGACTGTCAGATATGACTGAGCAATAAACCTTCTCTTTGGTTATAAAACAAATATAAGCTATTCCCTGTATAGTTTAAGTAAGCAGTCTGGAAAAAACTGTGGATTGATGTTGGGAAGGATGTGAAACAAAAAGTAATTTTGTTCATTTTGTTGGAGGTGTGAGTTAAACTGCAGGATTTGAGGACACATTCCTCTTGTACATAATGATGTGCAGAGATATCCTGTTCGTAATAGTCGACAACAAATCAAAGTATTAATTAAGAACCACACAGTTTCATCAATGGTCTCTGTATGAGCACCGATGCTCTAGTGAGCACCTAGAAACGATATTTATTTATTTGTGGATTTGTGATGCACAGTTTTAAAAAAACCCCCACATTTTTCACTCTATAAGACGCACTTTTCCCCCTCCAAAAATTAAGGGGAAATGTGTGTGCGTCTTATGGAGTGAATGGTTCCACGGAGGGAGGCTTATGGAGAGAGGCTCCATGGCTTCAGCGAGAGCAACGTGAAGCCTCCGAAGCGTAGCGGGACTCCCGCTGCACTCTGGAGGCTTCGCGTTGCTTTCGCTGAAGCCTGGAGAGCGAGAGGGGTCGGTGCACACCAATCCCTCTTGCTCTCCGGGCTTCGCTTCGCTGGAGAGGCGCTGCACAGCTTTCCCTCTCTGCACAGCGCCCCTTCAGTGAAGCGGGAGGAGAAACGGAGCCACTTCCATTTCTCCTGCCGCTTCGTTGAAGGAGCGCTGCACAGAGAGGGAGAGAAATTTTTTTCTTGTTCTCCCCCTCTAAAACTAGGTGCGTCCTATGGTTGGGTGCGTCCTATAGAGCAAAAAATATGGTAAATAGAGAAAGGTGGGATACAACGTATAAAAATAAAACCAACAAAGCTATACATAAAAGCTTCAATAAATACTGGTTGCAGAAAAGCAACGGCCAATTTACGTCTGCCCAGTTGATGTGTAGCCACACACGCATCGCTGCAACCCAGAAGGGGCCAAAAAAGGGGGCAGGAGAGGTGGGCAACACACACAAGGGTCAGGAACATAACGCCTGCGCAGAACAGTTGTTGCTTGTACAAAGAAAATTCCTGTTGTAAAGACTTGTCTAAGCAAAAATAAAATAAAAAATCCAAGAGGCATCTGAAAGATGGAAGGGAGTGTTTCCGTTGGTAGGAAACTCCATTGGGCAGGGTGCACCAGACTAAAAGCTTGATCCTTAGTGATGGCCAGCTGAACTTCAGAACCACAGAACCACCCCATCAGAGGAGCTCAGTCAGTAGAGCATGAAACTCCTAATCTCAGGGTTGTGAGTTTGAGCCCCTTGTTGGGCAAAAGATTCCTGTATTGCAAGGAGTTGAGCTAGATGATCCTTGAAGTCCATTTCAACTCTACACTTCTTTGATTCTACAATTTTCCATTTTATGTAGCCCTAATCACATGGCATGATAACCATGGTGAGTGAACATATGGTGGTGAGCAGAAGGAAGGTTGGGGCTACTTGCGCTCAGTTGAAGGTTTGCATGGAATCTATGCACAAAGAAGTGCACTGGCTTCTCCCAAGACCCTGCTTTTCCATGCATACATTCAAGTGAACTAACAACAACAACAACAATTTGTTATTTATACCCCGCCCATCTGGTTGGGTTTCCCTCTGGGAGGCTTCCAACAAAAGATTAAAAATACATTAAATAAAGGATGGAAACATAAGATGGTGACCTTACTCCTTCACCATGCACATGTGTGCATCATGGCTGTAGAGTGTATACAGACCTTATGCCAAGTACAAAAGTTGTGTCCTCATTCTGAAGTCAATGGAGGAACCAGTTCCTGGAGGAGCTCTGTATGTGCGCTGGACCTTTGAGCCTAAGTAGCAGGCAGTGGCGTAGCATGGGTTGTCAGCACCTGGGGCAAGGCAAGTAATTTGTGCCCCCTAACCCGTGGATTTGCGCCCCCTAACCCCCAGATGTTGCGCCCGGTGCGGCTGGCCCCCCCTGCACCCCCCACGCTACGCCACTGGTAGCAGGATCTACTTTTGTCAGGGCAATCATACCTTGCTGTTCACAACGCTCCCTACACTGAAATGTCTTCCCAACACATCAACAAATTTCCTACACTTTGTGCTTCCTGTGCTTCCTGCAGATGTTAGCAAAGTACGGCAAACCTGATTAAAGGCCAAATTCATTAATTGTTTAAAACAGGGATGTGCTCCAACAGAATCTCCAACAGCACAGTTTCTCCATCTTTGGTCAGGCATATAAGAAGGTATCTACTTCGGTTTCAACTCCATGTTTGTTGCTTGCAGTACTGTTTCCATTCTGCTGCTGTCTCGCTTCCAACAAAACTTGTTATTGGTCGCATTGTCTGGGATTGCAGAATGTTATGTAATTAATTATGTAACTATTGGGGCTATTGGGTTGTTGTTTTTATTTTTATTAGGTATTTTGTGGTTTTATATCTTGATTTTATTCTGTGAACCGCCCTGAGACACCCGGGTATAGGGCGGTATATAAATTCAATAAACAACAATAGCAACAACAACAAATTGCATCAGCATTACAATTCCAAACCGTTCATTGCAGTGCAAAGGAAATGCAATGCAAATTAGCGGGGGGATAGGACATAATCATTTTTGTATCTTTCGTGGACAGAAAACGAAGACAGCAAATGCAGATTGCATTCACAGGATTGATTTCCATTCTGGACATGGGATGCATAAGTAACTATAAGTAATTTCCACTCCTTTTCTCTGACAACCCTGTCCCTTATTTAAGGGATCTAACAGGTGGCTGATCACAACTCTTTTAATCCATCTTTCTGTGAAGGTATATCATTAATAAACATTGTGACCTTACATCCCACAACTACAACAATACCACAAATCTTATCAAGGAGCTATGGGGTCTTGTGTATAATTATCATGAGTTTCAGTTTAGCATGTCGGGACCACAGAGTACTGGGAAGACCTCTGTGCACATTTCATTGTCCTGGAAATTCTGTGAAGGGAACCCAGAACAAATTTATTTTAGTTGAACATTAATTTAGTGGACACTGTTTGCACACTGAGCGAACTGCTGCATTCATCATTAACTACTTGTTTTCCTTAATGTGCAGCTCAATCATTCTGTGGGCTTCTGTGCATAAACTGTGCATTTTGCCATTGTTTCTGGCATGACAAGGATAAACAACACTTTTTGCATTAATAATCCTACGGCCAGCTGACATTGGTGTTCTCTTCTGACTTGTGGCAACTCCCCAACCATGCCAGGAGTGATCTGCTGCTATAATTTGCTTTTTCCTCTCTGACAGCTAACAAAGTAGAGCCACCTTCGTCAACCTGCGGCCTCTACTTATTCTCTGAAAAAAGTGGGCTGGCGGAAAGTCGCGCTTTCATGAGATGTTTATTGAAGTGTCTAACAGCACCCCTCCAGTCTGCCGTATTGATGAAATCTGTGTTGGTAGCAACACCCATCAGATAAAGCCTATCAAATAAAGTACAAATAATGGCGGCAGAAAAGAATACATGGACTTAGCTCCATAGGTAACAGCTTCATGGTAACTGCTGAAAGACTGCTCCCTTTTCCTACAGACCCTCTTGAGTTAAGATCAGCAGAAGGGGTCTTCTTGAGAAGCTTGGAGTGGTGGTGTCCCAAGAAAGAATGATCTGTGGCAGACACTAGATAGCAGAACTTCCTCCCCACAGAGGGTGTCTGGCCCCATTGCTACAGGTTTTGACAAATGCTGAAGACTCACCTCTTTGCCTTGGCTTTCAACACCTGAGATGTATATTTTTAGGACCCACCTTATTTTCTGATTGTGATTTGTTTTAAACTGCTTTTAATGCTGTGTTGGGATGTGGGTGGTGCTGTGGGTTAAACCACAGAGCCTAGGACTTGCTGATCAGAAGGTAGGCGGTTCAAATCCCCATGACGGGGTGAGCTCCTGTCAGTGGCGTAGCGTGGGTTGTCAGCACCCGGGGCAAGGCAAGTAATTTGCGCCCCCTAACCCGTGGATTTGCGCCCCCTAACCCATGGATTTGCGCCCCCTAACCCTAACCCCTGATGTTGCGCCCGGTGCGGCCGGCCCCCCCTGCACCCCCCACGCTACGCCACTGGCTCCTGTTGCTCGGTCCCTGCTCCTGCCAACCTAGCAGTTCGAAAGCACATCAAAGTGCAAGTAGATAAATAGGTACCACTCCAGTGGGAAGGTAAAGGGCGTTTCCGTGCGCTGCTCTGGTTCGCCAGAAGCGGCTTAGTCATACTGGCCACATGACACAGAAGCTGTACGCCGGCTCCATCGGCCAATAAAGCGAGATGAGCACCGCAACCTGAGTTGGCCACAACTGGACCTAAGGGTCAGGGATCCCTTTACCTTTTTAATGCTGTGTTTATTTTATTTTATTTTTTGTAACTTATCCTGGGACCGTACTAATAGTAAAAAATAAATAAAAAATTACTACTTTTAATTTGGAATCATTCAGATGTCTGAAGCATTTCTGAAGCTGCAGTGTACAGTGGCAGAGCGTTTATCGCTGGTGCCAGGGGCACACAAGTGCGACCCAGGCTGTGCATGGTGTGCCGCTGGAGCTAAGCACGGTTGCGCTGTGCCACCTGCCCAGCCGGGCAGCCAGGGACCTGGCCACCTGATGTGGTTGACACCGTCCTGCTTTGAGGGGCACACTCACGGCACCCTGCGATCCCAGCGCTACTTGCGACACTTGCACAAGCAGCACAAGGCTGGCAGGGTGCATGCCTATTGCATCCTTCACAAGTTGCCCTCCAGCTGGAGGGCAAGTTAAAAGGACGCAACAAGGCAGGGCTCAAAGTGGCACGGGGCTTGCAGGGCGCTGTGAGCTGTTACATCCTTCTCACAGCACTCTCCAGCTGGAGGGCAGATGAGAAGGATGGAACAGGGCAGTGCATCATGAGGAATACCCCCCCCCCAAAAAAAACTGGGCCCGGGGTGATGGTCTCCCCAGTCCCTCCACTATGCTTCTGATAGTGTGCAAAACATCATATATTCACAGCTGCTCATCAATTTCTAGTCCTATCATCTGATCATTTTACAGTTTAATTTTTAAAATATAATAACAACAGCCACTGTTGCTGTTTTTAAGATCAGGCAGTGCTCATCTGGAATTTATTGGTGCTGCAAGTGAAAAAGTAGGAACTGTAATACATGGGCACAAACATGAAAACGGTGCCCCCTACGAAATCTGCAAGAGACTTCTGCTTCATCGTGATAAACACGACCCTGATTTCCTGGGCCCAATTCTTTTTTTCATCAGCCTCTTGCAAAGGAGTTGAAGAACTGTCAACGTGGCCTGTCATTTCCAGGTGCCACAACAACTTGACATTGGCAATTTTGGTTGGTAAGGGGATCAAGGAGACTTTGGAAGAGTGTAACCAGAAAGTCAAACCAAGCCACCCTGCCCTGACTAACTTACAGTAAAACAAGCTTATACTTGCATCATAGCAGCTGAATTTCCACATGCATCATTGCTCGGGGTTGAGAAGAAAACATTCTTCATAGAAAGCAGCACTCCAGAGGGTCACCCTAAACCACCTATATAAAGTCTGAAGGCAACCCTGTATAGGGAAGCCTTTTACTATAAAATGTTTTATTATGTTTTATATACGTTGGAAGCCGCCCAGAGTGGCTGCGACAACTGAGTCAGGTGGGTGGGGTACAAACAATAAAAATATTATTATTATTAAGTCAATACACTCAATTGGGGTTTTTTTTTGCACATACTGGATTTTCATTGTGACTAATACATGAAGGGACATTGGATAAATTCAAAGGAAACAACCAAATCTGAAGCTAAAAGAGAGAACTTGCTGGAAAGATTTTGCACTTCTGGCATAGAGAATGAAAGATACGCCTCTGGAAAGGTGATGGCTTTTCTGGGTTTGCTTCAGTCGGATGAAAGTCCATGCAAACAGCAAACATTTGCCTCCACAAATCTCTTTGTGAGCCGGAAATCCCCAATGAAGATCCCAACTGGAGGAGTTTTGTGAAACTTTAAGGTTGCAGTCTTAAGCATGCTTAACAGGAAGCATTTTCTAAAACCAGTGGGATTTCCTAGCAAGTGTGGTGAGGCTCAACTTGTATAGCTTGCATACTCACTGTATTTCTTCTGGATCAAAAGGAAGATAGTCAAGTTTTAGATAGAATGTTTCCCAACCATAGACAATTAAAGGTGGCATGAGAACATATAGTAGGAGCCAACTCCTAGGCTTTGGTCCCCGCAATAAAATACTTGAGGGGGCTGGGCCCCCACAAAGTTGATGGGCATTGCCATTCAAATGTTGCGTGTGCACCGTGCCATGTG